CCTGATGCAGGAAGCTAGTCAAAATGGTCACTGCTGTTTTATCAAAATAAAAGACAGCTAGAGATTAGCCTTTTTATCTAACAGTACAATTTCAATTCATAATGTTCCTTTTCATATATGAGAAAAGGGTGTTTTGAATATCTGACTTTGCTTTTTTCCATCATGAGATCTTCGCAGTCTCAGTGTGGTTCACATTTTGAAATCACTGTTAGCCTACTGTACTTGAAGTCTAGGACACAATGTACTCTTCGCTGGGAGGACCTCCAGAACCAGAGGGATGAGGAATATTTCTTGAGTGAGTGTGATGTGTTGAATAATGCAAACTCCAAACTGCTGTTTTTCCTTGCACCGTCATCCAAACCCGGATCGAGTTTTTGATTGAAAATCTTTCAAACTGTCCTCTGAGATTAATTTAAACCCATCTGGTGGCTTTAGAAAAAGGCTTTCATTCACTTCCAGTTGATCCAAGTGTGTTATAATCTGTTTACAGCTGTATAGATGTGCCTTTTTATTTTAGAATAGGCTTCTGTGTGTGTATCATTCTTTTCTTTTCTAATTTTTAAATATATATAAATATACATTGTTTATTTGTGTTGTTGTTTTTCTCAAAAAGAAGTTGAGTGAGAAGGTGTGTGTGTGTGTGTGCAGGTGTGTGTCCTCTTTATTCACTCGTCTCCTTCTTCTGTTGTGTGAGTGGCTACAGGGTTAACGCCCTTCAGGAGAAACACATTTACAATAAGAGAGATGCAACTTCCACATTTTTGTCTAAAAAAGTCGATGGCGGTTTGTTGCTCATACGACTGAGCGGCTAACCTCAAAGTTTTTTTGGAAGTACTGAAGTTAAAAATGTGTTTAGAGGATCGATAGCTGTCATCAATCATTCTCAGACTTTTTTTAGACTGTTTTATTTTGTAAATTTATTTTGCAGCTGCTTGTTTTTAGGTCAAGTTTAACACTTTGGTTTGTTTTGTTAAATGAGAAAAAGGTTTATGGAGGAAAAAACATGTTCATACTGAAAGAAAAAGTATTACTTTGGTTTTGGTACTAAGACAAATATAACATTAATATAACATCACAATTGCCATTTACTTCGGTTACATTTTTTATTGTCTGTGTGACAATGTGAGAACATTACTGAGGTTTTATTAATCATGCACCATGTTGTTTTTCAGCATTAACATCGTCATCATCACAAAGCACTTGAAACACAAAGCAGACCAATCAAAAACCTCCTCACAGCCCTGATGTTAGTCAGCAACATCAATACATAAATCTACCTGTGCGCCTCCTAAGAGCTGGAAACAGTCTGCTCATGTGTGGCTGCTTTCCTTTATTCTTGTATGGATTTGGGGAATAACATAATGTGTCCGGTTCAGTTTGTTCCGTTCAGGACTCGACCTCCAACAGGAAGTCAGCTCAGCCATTAAACTGGGAGCTGTTAGCATCGTAACTCCCTTCACTCCTGAACCCTAACAGCACGAACTGTATTTCTCTTCACGAGGACATTTCAGAGCTGTTGTGTCCAAAATCACCAAGGGAAATTAGTTTTAGAAATTATTTCACAGCTTTTACCGTATACCCCTCTGAGGTCCAGAGCTCGGTGACCTCGGTTCTGGTGAGTCCCGGCCCGTTTCAGGTCCTGGTTTATACGTTTCTATGATTTTGATCATAAATTGTAACTAAGCACTTCTGAGCATCTGGTCTGTGACAGCCAATGAGAGGGGCCCGAGAGGAGCAGGCAGGAAATAGATTCTGCTGACAGGCTGTGACGTCTTAAAACCCAAAAGATCAAACCCGATATTGCATAATCCATTTTTGTATTTTCATAATGGCATAAAAATGCAAATATGGAAACTAGAAAGGATTTGAGAATTTGCCTGAGAGGAGGAGAAGCTAAAAATAAGTGCAGACATATCTTCAGAGAAATGACGGGCGGATGAAGAATGACTATCTTTTATCTGAATGTGATAGCGGGTGTTTAAAGGGACCCTTCTGGTCGCCCTCTTCCTGTGCCAGCCCTGAATAAACGTCCTGATTACAGCTCAAAACGAGCTGTCAGCTCCGTCCTCACCAACCCTCAAACTGCCAGAGCCTGTTGCTATGCAGGAGTCCCTCCAGTCTCACTTCTCAACCTCTTTTAAAAACACTGCCGAGACAAACACACACGACGGGAGGCGGTGACGAGGAGAACAAATGTGTCTGTGTGTGTGTGTGTGTGTGTGTGTGCGTGCGTGGCAGCTAGCCCTGTTATTACAGGGAGGAGGAAGAAAATTGCTGCTTCAAAGCAATAAGTACAGCTCTGTCTCTGCCTCTTTGCTGTCGGAGAAGCCACTTCGGGCTCTGACTGACAGACGAGAGAAAGGAGAGGAAGAAGGGAGGTCAACTGAGGGAAGAGGAAGAAAGAAATAGCGACACATTTCAAACCCGAGGCTTGCATCACAAACACGTAAATCATACGCAGATAGAGGAAATCTAATAAAAACTGCGTGAGGATGCATGCCAGCAGTGTTAACATGTGACAGCAACACACACACACACACACACACACACACACACACACACACCGAGTCAGACAGAGAGTCCGGTTCATCCATCAAAAGACAAACCCAGTTAGCTGACCTTCATGTTGGAGCAACTCCTGCTGAGCATCTAAGACCTGCGAGGAGGAGGAGGAGGGAGAGGAGGAGGAGGGAGAGGGGAGAGGAAGACGCAGGCTGCCAGAGATGAAGAGAAATCTGAACTAATAAAAGAGGATGGACTGAGGATCGTACCTCTTGGAGCGCCGCAGCATGCTTCTCTCGGGCAGTGAGAAATTGGAGAGCACCGTCCAGAAGGAGTCAGACATACTAACGCAGGCGCGCGACCATCGCTGTGACACGGCGGCAGGACGGAGGAGGACGTGGTTAACAAACAGACGCTGGCGTCCACCTGTCACAGCGGCGAGAGCGAGTGTGTGAGAGCGAGCTGGTGTGCCTCTCCTCCCTCCCTCTCTCTCTCTCTCTTTCCTCTGATCCTCTCTCTCTGCTCAGCAGTGCTCCCTCCCTCCCTCTCTGATGCTCTTTTCTTCCTCTCACCCCTCTGTTTCTGAGTGGAGCTCTCACTGCCTTCAGTGTACAGCAGAGTGGGACAGACTGTTATCAGTTTACAGATGTTTATCAGCAGAACTGCATCTGTGATATTTTACCTGCTTATAAACAACATGTGAACACATCTGGATGTTTAAATATTATATCACAGAAACTTCACTGGAAGACGCTCTGACATAAGATTGGCTGTGGTTTCTTTTCCTTTTAAGGTCCAGGCTGAAGGATTTAGTGGCATCTAGTGGTGAAACTGCAGACTGCTACTAACTGAACACCACTCCTGTCGGTATCTAACTGTGTCTTAATAAGATATTCCAGCTAATAATGAGGTTGATTTAACCAGTAACAACAA